GAATTAGTAGAAGGGCTCTTAATTTCTATCGATAATTCTGTACATGCAGCTTTTTCTGGGTGCACTGGACTTATGGAGTATGTCCATAAGTACAAATTAAGGATTGTTTTCAGTTCTGGACCAAACCAAACCAAATTAGACTAGACTAGACTTAAATCGATCAGACCAGACTAAAATGAATTGAAACAGACCAGATCAGAGTAGACTTGGATAGTTATAAAATACATAGAGACCAGACGTTTACCAAACCAGACCAAATTTCAATCAAAAGAAAACATGAATGCGCAATGATCGTGATACGTTTAGAGGCCGCTTGGTAACATCATTTTTCGGCTTATAAGGCTTATCAGCCAACTTTTTCACCAAACGCGTAACTTTTACTTTCGCGCGCTGAATTGTGTAATAAGCAGAAAAAGTAAGGTTGGAGTTACTTTTCTGGCTGTATTGACTGAAGTTACTGTAGATGACCATTTTAACTATTTTTACATATAATTTTTTATTTATTTTACTCCCTATGTCCCATTTTATAAGATGTCTTTACTATTCACTTGGTCAACACAAATCACTCTTAATCTCTTACTTTATATGTCAAAATTTTATGAAATTTGAATTATTTTTTGCAGGTTTTGTAGCGGTTTTAATGTAGTTTCTGAATATGTAATTCTTTTTTTCTAAAATTAATTTGAGTGCACACAGGGATCTGTTTGCTTTATCGTCGGTCAAACATCGTAAACCGAAAAGTATCTTATAATTTGGGACGGAGGGAGTATTAATAAAATCTATTTTAAAAATAATTTTTACTTAAAACAGCAGAAACAACCAAAACAGTCACTTCAGCTAGAACTTCATAAATTTCAGCAGAATCAACCAAAACAGTCGATTTTCGTGCTACCAAATGGGCTCTTAGTCGGTGACATTAATCATCTGTTTATATTCTTGTTTTAGGGATATTTTAGGGCAAAATCTCACAAAAAGTAATGCCCCATAATAAATATACACAGTAGCATTTAATAGATGTTGTACCATTGCAGATATCTTGGGACCAAAGTGTGGTACAAATATATTTAAAAGTGGCAAACAATAAATATGACTATGATTTGGTTTAGATTCAGTAGACATGCACTGCACCGAACTTGTATGAGCCATGAGTTTGCGGTTCTGCAAAGACTATGTAAGATTTCAGAGATATGCACATGTAGTGTGAACTGTGGATCAATAGTTTGGTTTGAGGGACAATCATTTTACTATTTCAAGAAACATAAATTAATATATATGGTGGCCAAGAATTGTCTTTACGTTGAAAATAAGGCATTACCTTTATTAAATAGATTAGTCATTAAACGTACGTATGACTTCCTAAAAGCTATATGTACGTACTGTCAAAGGTGTGTTATGGACTTGTGGAAATAGCGTTTAAACTAAAGTTCAACTTTTGGGCCCGTCAAGAGGTGGAATTGGGTATGATGGTGTATTTTGACTCTATCTTAGTTCTAAGAATTGCAATAGAAGGAACATAAAGATGTACAATAACTTCATGATGAAACATTTATTAGTTCAAGAAACATTACAAAATCTCGACCTCGCTCGTAGGAATATGAAAGCTATTTTCACTTATAAAGCCTCTTATGCAAAACTACAAGATCACTCACTCATAATCTATCATTATGCTACCCAAAGGCAAACCTCTCTAAGTTGAGCTGGGGAACATTGTCTTGTGTATAAGGTGTATCTCAACTTTATTAGAAAATTCTCACTTTGCTCCCAACCATTAGGTAATTCTCACTTTAAAACTGCTTCTCATGTATAAGTTTGATAGTAATATACTACGTATATGACACCGTAAAACAATTTTGGAACAATCTTCAAAAGTATGCTTATTTGTTTGTAAGCTCTCTTTTCTCTATGGGTCTTTTCTTCTCATCTTGCTCAGCTCTTCAATATCATAGAGCATATCAATGTATAGTTGCAACTAGGTAGAAGGGACCTACACATTTTATGAATGTAAAGTAGTGTAAAAAAACAAAATAAAAGCTTTCCTTTTGAGTGTTTTTACCATTTCTTTTCCTATATAGATTGCTAATAGCCTAATAGGTAGGACTCCTAATCCATCTCCTATTTTTAAACATGAACTGTCACCTAAAATTGTTCGCCCTCGACCGTTCAAACATCCGCCCATGTACACCCTATATATTGTGCTCAAAAGTTCTCTATAAATACCAAGAATTTGCTAGCCATATTCTCACACACTCGATCTAAAGGATTCTAAGAATCTCTAGTATACCTTTAGCAACGGGTGTTTAAAATTGGAGACGGTTGCAAAGCGTTATGACCATTACTTACCATACTTGGGAGTTGACAGTCCGAAGCCATGGTCCCCTACACAATCTTGTTACTAGACCATTATATATGTACAAATTGTACATAAATTTCATCCAATTTCAAACTTGGGTGGTTAAATGAATGGTTTCCTCAAATGAATGTATGAATTTCATTCATACATTCAATACATACTTCGTGTAAAGATTGAGGTGATTCTATGAAAATCTTCATTGCATAAGGTCGAGAAGATCCGTTCGTAAAAATCCTCTTATGATTATGGAAAATCGATAGGTGACAACCGGTACCTTTGTAAAAAAAAGGATACCATACCTACCATTCATTTGATTGGACCACATCACTTTATCATTTTAAATTTAGATTTAAATAATTCAACTACTACATTCTCATTGGTTCATGCGGACAAAGGTATGGTACCTTATGGGTACCATAGAATCTCGATAAATCATTAGCAAAAGGGTGTTTTTCCAAGAATTCCTTGCACTACTTTTGCTTGAGTTTGAGGAGGACGAAAGACTAGTGTACTCCGAAGGCAATGCCTTTAGATATTGGAGTAAGGAGTTTTTGAACTAATATTATTTAATGCCACCGTTTTGTTTTCTTACTTATCATACCGTAATTTATTTGCGCTTTAAATGTTTAATCCACACCTGTAAACTCATAATTACATATAGATGTTGAAGTTTCCATTTTGATCGAGTTTTAATACTCAAACGACTATAAGAGACATTTGGAGAGAGCCTATATCATACAACCGGGTGTAGGTACATCCGGCCCAACTAAGGAAGACAGCCCAACAATCAATCCAGGCCATTTTTTTCGATGGCAATTTTGTAGTTTAAGCAAAAAAACGCGGCTTCCGCTAAATGAGCAATAGTGTAATTTTAGTGAGTATCTAGCCTATTTTATTGATTATTAGAAGACTAATAATGAGTTTCGCGATATTTGCTTCATATATTCTAATTCTCTTTCTTTTTCTTGTTTTTTCTTTTATAAAAACTTATTAAATTATATCTATAATCCACTCTTATTAATTTCAATATGCGAGTCTAATATAATATGATACTTTTGAAATATGCATTGATATGACATTGTAAAAATGAGTTTTACATCAGTACCAAATGAGCATACATAACTTACGAAGTGCACATTGATATGAAAATCGTAAGTTTTTTTGTTGAAAATCACGACATTTTATTGAATATCAAACCTCCGCTATTGAGATGAAAATCACAATTTCTTGTGAATGAGCATTAATGAACTTGTAATGAGCATCAAACCTATTATGTTGAGTATTAAGAGTCCAATATATATGAACATAAGATCAGTACCAGATGAACATACGTAACTTACAAAATGAACTTTTAATGAATTTGTTAGTTGGTTTGTTAGCTGAACATCACGATATTTTCATTGAGCATCAAACCTCCTCTATTGAGATGGAAATAATGGTTTCTGTTAAATGAGCATTAATGTACTTTTAATGAGCATGCTACCTATTATGTTGAGCATTAGTTTCATAAGCATTGATATGACATTTTAAAATGGGCATAAACATTAGTCCTGAATGAGTATACATATATTATAAAATGAGCATTGAAAAATTCAAAAACTCATTTAAATTGTCTAATATGCTCATTTAAATATATTTAATGAGCATCGAACATATACAAATGAGCATATGAAACTTACAAGAGGAGCATTGATATGAAAATTGTAAGTTTTGTTTGTTGAGCAGCAATACATTTTCAGTGAGCATCAAAACCTCCGTTATTTGGTATTACAATTTGAGATTCAGTATCATGAATTGTGATCTCGTGTCTATAATCAACTCCTATATAAATTTAGTGTAATAGAAACTTTTGAAATATGCATTGCTAAAAACATTTTAAAAATGAGCATAACGGAGTTACTAAATGAACATACATAATTTACAAATTGAGTATCCAAAAATTCAAAATCTCATTTGTGTACATTCATTTTTTTAGGCGTTTACTCATTTGAGTTTAAAATAAAGCTCGTTTCTAATATGCTCAGTATTAATATATAAAGAAAAAGAAAGAAGTAAACAACAAATAAAGAAATGAAAAGAAGTAAAGAAAAAAGAAAAAATTAAACAAAACAAAGACCAAGAAGCTAACGGTAAAAGTAAAGAAAAACATGAAAATAAAAAAGACAAAACTAAAAAGTAATTATCAAAACTAAAATGAGATGATTAGGAACGACTAAAAAAGATGATTCAACAGATTCACATGGAACGACAAGACATAGACCACTGCCAAACGAGGATTGCGGCCGAAGAAAAGAAAAAAAGAGATGGCTGCGGAAGAAAAGAAAGAAAAGAGATGACGGATTGATGGCGGAAGAAGACAGAATAAGAAAGGAACGAGGATGTGTTTGCTTACGTCACACTACTAAAACCGCCGGATGTACCGTCCGGATGGTACAACCGGCGGTATAATATAATTTACCGACATTTGGATACTTCTGAATTTTGCAAAAAAAAAAAGGTGTTTTCTCCGGTACCTTTAATATATCTGAGGTACGGTACCGGGCTTATGTGGGTAAATGAGAAAATGACACGTGGATAACTTAAAATTAGTGGTATAATGACATGGCGTTTAGTTTAAGTAAATTAAATTTGCTTTTAGTCCTTGGAAGAGAGGAGAATAGACGGAACCGATGAAGGTTTGACGGCGCTTTGTTTCCTTCTCTCCCAAGCGAGCAGTGACCACAGATACATGAGATGGCGGCAGCTTTCGACCATAGAGGACAAGAGACGGCCGCGTTGGTTTCCTTCTCTCCCTTGCCACCACAGTCCCCAGGAGACCCGCTGGTTTTGACTGTGGATTACACCTACTGCTATTCGATTTTATTATCTTATCTTTCTGTAATTTCTTGCAATACTAAATCATAGGATTCTTTTGAGTCGATTCTGTTTACAATTTCATAACGGCATCAAACGTTATCTTGGAGAAGCCTATTAACTCAAGTTTTACTCGCTTAGTTTTACTCCATTAGTTTTGACCCGCTTAGTCTTACTCTTCCAACTCTTAGTATCAAACGGCATTCTCAAGTTCCATAACTGATAACACAATAAAAATACCATGTTAGCCATGTGAACTACGTATCTTGGAGAAGCCAATTAACTCAGGGTGTTGTTTGGTACATGTCATCTCACATTACCGTGGTAAAAAAGATGGTGTGAGCTTGACCTTGTTTGATTCTTATTCAGATTACCAAGATAATCCAATATTACATCCACATAGGATAATGAGGTAAAGGGGAATACTGGAATGATAGACTGAGGTATCAAATCTGAGTGTTATTGCAAAACATATTGGGAAGGATTCTTTAATTTTACACTTGGAGAGGATTTGTATCTTTAATGAACTCTACATGATTTCTATTAAATGTATTTATGTGAGTTCACTTAAGTGTACTTATGTGAATTTTCAACTAGTAAACAGCTTCCACTATTCCTCTCTCTGTTTTTTGGGGGTTATGGACTCCTAATTGTGGGTAAATTTAGTTCCAACTAGTTCTTTTAGTATGGAAATATAGTTTATCAATATGGCCTAGTTCTACTTTATCATTTTTTATTTATTTTGTCTACTAATACAATAAGTTTCCAAGTAAATTGCTGGTTTTAATATTGCATGACTAGGAATTCGGTAGTTTTCATTTCCTTTGGTTTACTACACTTTTTTCTTAGTTTTGAGAGTGTTTTTTGTAAAGGGATTACTTATAACCGCAATTGAGTTCATTTCATTATTTTAGAGTGTTATGTTGCATGTAAATTAAATACCTCAAGCTGTTTTATTAATTTCATAGCCTCAATCTAACAATTAACTAATTTTGAACTTTGGGAAGGTTGACAAAACTTTCAAGATGGAGTTCGTTTGGGAAGCAGTGTCTTGGCCCTGCTACATTTTTTTGCAAATTTCTTTTGCTGTCTTTAAGGCTGTTTTTGTTTGCCGATTACTTATTATTGTGCTGTGTAGCTACAGTTTCAATGGGAGTTATTTTTGGTGAGCTGCAGATTCTTTTGCAGAATATGTTTCTCCAACCAAGTAAAATAATATATAATGTATTATGAGGTTAGATCAGTTACCTCTATGTGAAAGAGCAACATAACTAAAAGTAAAACTAACCCTAAATTGCTAAACAATAGTTATAAAATGAATTACTTTTAGAATAAAATATATGTGTAACTTTCAAATAAATGTCATTCACATCTACGTAAATTTTGCATTTCCTTTTATAAACTAAACTCATTCACTAATCCTTATATGATAAATAGATTGATAGTGTTCAAGTTGCCCATCTCAGAGTTATATTGATGGCCGACATTTCAGCTTCAAGAACAAAACTGGCTGAGAAAGGGAAGCCAATTGCAAAGATAAAGCCTATAGGTGCCATCTTGGTTCCTCAATATTGCACTTCGCACCTCCTGCAGACCTGCAACCTTGTGACTTGTGAGGTAAAAAGGCTGCATCAACATTAAGTTTCAGATAGCCAGTAGGTCTATTCCATTTTACCAATAAAACATTAGGGCGTTAAAACTTGAAATTGGAGTAGATCAGTTGTTCTTGATACAACATCAGACTAGATGGCCAGAGTTTAGAAGAAAAGTTCCAAGACCAATTTCTAGTATAGTGTTTCATGAGGCTGATGATCTGACCAGGAGAATAATGGCGTTGAGAGTCATCCCAGATTAATTTGGTGTAGCATTTCCAGATATGCCAAAGAATGATGCCAGAAAGAGAGTGTTTGGAGGGGGGTCCCAGATTAACAACAGAGCTTTTGTATTTCAAGACCGAGCCTTGAAATAATGCATTCGACATCAAGTTTTAATCAAAATGGTGAAAGTCACAACAAAGATGATCAAGATTGATAATATCAACTATCAAGTGTAATATGTTTTTTACTTTGTTAAATTTTGTGATGTTGTTTGTAATGAATTGGTGAATCTTCGATGTGGGTAACTCAATTTTACTTCTCACACGATCCGCTCTCTGCACACACTCACACACATATAGGAGCTGGATTTAGTATAAAGTGTGCTTATTGTGCAGTGTACGATGCACTTTACTCTAATTGTATTGAATATTGATGTTTAAAGTGTTGCATTTATTCTACAATGAAATTGAAGGTTATACATTAACATTGAAAGTGTAGCATCCAATGGCATTTTGATTTATATACCAAAGTGTCACCGCGTCTACTAGCCATTAGATCTTTCAAATGGTGGACCAAGATTAATTTGTATTTTATAAATATGTGATTATTTCTTACTTTTATTCCAACTAAATTTTTGGTAGTAAAATTAGTATTACGAGTTTCTATTTTTAACACCTAATTGTAAAATTAGTACTTTTGTAATAATTACATCATAGAAAACGATTGTTCCTACAAGTAGAACTCTTTGGTCATTCTTCTAAATTTCATCTCAGAAAATGATTGTTCCTACAAGTAGTACTACAAAGGTCATTACAACATTAGAAAATGATTGTTTCTACAAGTAGAACTCTTCGTCATTCTTCTCTCAATGTCATCAATGTATGTCGCATATATCTCCTAATTTTCCAATGCCTGAATGGTAACTTGGATCCATGAAGAAAGCACCAATGACAGTTCGTTTTTCAGGTTATCTCAAATGATTCCATAAATCTTCTCAATGTAGGCAATAAGCTGTTGATTCAAAAAAGATTAATTAAAATTGTCAAAAATATGAGAAAGTAGTTCACAGAATAGTTACAACAAATGTACCGTCAAAACCCAATCTTTATTAAAAGAAATGGAAGTTAAAAGAAATGGAAGTTGAAGGGGACAAGTAATATAGAGCCTGGTTTGTCCAAGTGGACATGATACAAAAGGGCAGCATACTGTCAATTCAACCAATAGATCAAAAACTAAAATTCAATAGAAAATAGTAGTGGTTTATTCTTTCATAGATGTAAATGCTCTTAACTTGTCCCCTTGTCCACCTCTGAAATTAACAGTATTGATTGTACTGCAATCAACTTCCATTTATTAAAAGAAATGGAAGTTGAAAGCATAAAGGGGACAAGTAATATAGAGCCTGGTTTGTCCAAGTGGACATGATACAAAAGGGCAGCATACTGTCAATTCAACCAATAGATCAAAAACTAAAATTCAATAGAAAATAGTAGTGGTTTATTCTTTCATAGATGTAAATGCTCTTAACTTGTACCCTTGTCCACCTCTGAAATTAACAGTATTGATTGTACTGCAATCAACGTCCGGTTCCTCCAAGCAAGATACAAAGCTATAACTGCATCATCTACACCTTATCAAAAAAAGAAAGTTTTAAATCACCCAGCCAGCCAAATACAAAAATATAAGCTCATGTATTATGTACAACCAGATTTTTATATCACATCACTATATCAAAATGCATTAGGCTCAAAGAGTAACTTAGATACAACTAAAACTAAAAACTTAAGTCAACAAAGAACTGAAACATGTATAATAAAACTTTGATAGTCATAACTCATAAGATTAAAAGAGAGACAAAGATTGCAAGTTTCAAAAAATGAAAAGATCTAATGACTGCACCTTTTCTGCACAAACAAATACATATGGTAGTTCAACATTTGCTATTTTCCCTTGATAAGATTCTCCGTAACATTAAAATCTAAGCAACAAAACTTTTACCAGCATTGTGAGGAATAAGAAAAGCCAAGTCAAATAAAGTAAAGTCTCAACAAAAAAAACTTTTGTTTGATACTACGTATAATTTTAACTTGACTTTATCACTATTCACTAGAATTTTAAATAGAAATGTGCCTCGTTTTCAAGTAGTTGATATAGCTCAAGTTCTTATACAAAGTCTTTTTTAGTTCAATATGCAGAAACATTCTTGTTTTAAAAAGAAAGTTATATTGTATTCCATAAATGAGTTTGCAGATAGTTGTTATTGCTCATGTAAGTTGCAGCTCTTTGATTTAAATTTCTCCATATCACAGCCAACTTTTCAATGTTATGTGACGTGTGTCTTTTTTGTTAGAACAAGATGAGCTAGACCAAAATGGAGCATCTGAACTGTTCTTAAACTAGAAACCATTCTAACAAGAAACTGTAGAAAATAGTTCCAAAAATAAAATAATCACAAGTTCACAACAAAGAACAAAAAGCCAAAAACAGAAAGAAGAAAAAAATCTAACCACAATCGCATGTTCCCATATCAGCTACTCATTTTTTTTCCTATATTTTTTATCCACATTGGAATGATTAAGGCTAATTCACACAATGTCTATGCATAATTTTCAAGTCCCTAAATTGGATGTGATGAATAAATCATATATATACCAAATTTTATTAAAACAAGTTCAAACAAAACCTTCCAAGACATACTAATCCTCTCCCTTCATGGCTTCACCAGGTTTTCAATGCCATATGCTCTGTGTTTGTCATTATCCAAAACCACATTGAAAGTGCCCTTAATCTTCATGAACCCCGAGCCTCAACAGTTTCCTTGAACATCTTCAAGAGTCTCACTAGTATCATAAACTTGAAACAAAACAATAACAGATAAGTGATCATAAACACCACTAAAAAATGATGACTTACAGATGCATTAATGGACTAAAGACAAGCTACAAAAAAGAAGAGTTCCAAATGGACTTCGACAGGATGAATTGGGAATCACTAAATCAGTATCCATTTTATTCAAATCATTTCTAAGGAATTCATCTACCTTCACCGGCAGAAGATAATTGACATCAAGCTTCCATTTTAATCATCAATTTACATGGAAAGGAGTACACAGCTAATTTAGAGTCTCCGGAATACTCGTAAAGGCCATGGATGCCTACATCTCGTCTGTCGGCACGATCGGTAATAGCCTTTCCAATGAGAACCCATCAATTTCCACTCGCAACCGATTAAGGAGCCCTAATTGCAACCATAGAGAAGAGACGAGTGACGAGCAACGATAGATTTGAGGATTAAGAAGCGTAAAAAAAAATAGGAAGAGTAGGAGACACCGAGACAGTGTTAATTAACGGAGGATTGACGTTGAATCTAATAAGTTTTCCCGTATTTAAATATTCCAGGGGCATGTAAGAAAATTATAAAAAATATGAGACGATTCCAATGAGTAATCCGAGCTGTAAATAGAGTACACATGGCATAAATTTATTGGATTGGTACCGTACCTTCAAATTTGTGAAAGGTACCGAAGTAGTCACTAAAAAAACGACTATAAGAGACATTTTTTTTTACTTCTGAATTTTGCGAAACGATTAAACCGGGGGCTTACCATTTACCTAGTGGATAATGGGGATTAGTTAATTACAGAGTATTTATTTCTTTACGCTAGAATTTTTAAGGCATAAACATTTTGGAGTGACCCCCTATTCACCCCTACCCCGTCTTAAATTGCTTATCCCGCTTTTCAATTATACTCCCTCCGTCCCTTATAACTTTGCCAACTTTCCTTTTTTGGTTGTCCCAAAAACTTTGTCACTTTCCCTTTTAATCAATCAATTTGTGTCTCATGTTATTTCCCTCTCCTCTGCACAAATATCCACCACACAGTTTTTACTTTATTATTCCACGTGCCGGTCAAACATGGCAAATGATATTGTCTAGATGCAAGTGTTTAGTACACAAAAGCAGTAAAGATGAGATGACTATGATGCAAGAAGCAATAATGTGTGTTCCTTGGCTACCCATCGCATGACAAATCCTATAGTGTTTAATAAACAAACTCTTTGTGTTACAGAAGGTCCTCGTGTTATTTTTTAGAAAACTAGTATGCCTAACCCACTACAAGAAAAGGGGAGAATAGAAAGGAAATCCAACCAAAACTATATTTATTCCTTTCTAAATTGATTAGCTAGGAACTTTCATAGAACTTTTGAGTCCTCTCTAAAACCTCCCTCGCCAATTTGTATTCCTACCTACGTTCCTTTCTAAAATTGGAGTTTTTTCCAAAAATAATGTTAAACAAAAACATATTTCCCAGAATATGGTTTGATTAAAAGTATTTCCTAAAATACTGCTCCCTTAACCTCAATTAAAAGAACCGACACTTGAAGTGGCGGCTTATGCAAAACAGAGTATCACCGAGTAACGCGCCTGGAAAGAAGCCAAAGCAAGCAATGCATGTTGTAATATGGAGCTAGGGCCCCACAAAAATAAAAATCTCATTTCTATTTCAAACTGATATAACTTTTTTATTTGTACTCAAATCATTACAAAAAATAAACCAAAATTCATAACTTTTTATTATCTTTCATATGACACCAATATTGAATATATAAAAATTAAAAAACAAATACTTTTTTCTAGATGTTACATCTTTTTATGTGTACTCCGATTGTAACAAAAAATATTAACAAATTCATAATTATTTATTATATTTCATACGACACCAATTTTTAATATGTAAAATAAAAAAAATTAATTCTATTAATTTGTGCAGTTTATGATATTTTTTACTGGGCACACAAATAATCAGCAATAATAGATTAGAATAAGGATGTTTTTTTTGGACTGTAATTGACTGGTGTAGTCTGATCTTATCTGTTTACGCCCGATCTGATCTATTTAAGTAGGGTCTGATCTATTTATCTTTGGTATGATCTGATCTGGTCTGGGACTGAAAACAAGTCAAAAGAAAATATCCTAAAACTACACAAGGAATAAAACAATAAATAAAAACGATGGAATTTGTGCAGTTTTATTTTAACCTATAACTCCAAATAAATGTGGCATTGTAAATAATGATTCCAAAATGCACAAATTAGCAAAAATGATTTTAAATTTTATATATTCAAAATTAGTTTGTTATGAAAGATAACAAAAATTTATAAATTTTAATATATATTTTGTAACGATGAAGTACAAATAAAAAAGATATACAACCTTCATCCCCTTAAGTTTGGGACAAGAGAAGGTGACACGGTTTTAAATAAAAGTAGGTTTATGTGGTTGATATAGAATTGATAAAGTAATAATAAAGTAAGAATGATTTAGAACCACACAAATTTTACCAAATAAGATACGAGACAATCTTAGTGGGACGGACCGAAAAGGTAAAATGGGACAATCATAGCGGGACGGAGGGAGTAACATTTACAACAAAAAAAAGTGTTAATTTTTTTTATATATTC